AATGCGTTTACAGGGTATCCTTGCAGTCGTTACTCAATTGCCTCTGCGTTTGGCTTTTCCCTTTCGATTATTTTTTTTTTCTAGTGCTTTTCACCCATTTACGAGCATTTTCTTGAAGCGCAATTGATGATTGCATGAATATGTTTTCCAATTGCGTCGTAGCGAAAATGTTTGACCGTCTTTGCGAGAGGGGGCAGGGGCAGGGGCAGGGGCAGGGGCTGGTGCAGGGACAGGGGCTGAGGCAGGGCCAGGGCCAGGGCTGCGGCTGGGCGGCAGGAGATGAGGGGGCGGCAGTCGTGGGCGACACTTTGTTGGGTTTGTTGCTTTTCTTTATTTATTATTTTTTCATTCATTCTAGTTCTTTCTCAGCTGCTGTCGCTGCTGCTGCTGCTGCTTTGTGCTGCCTTCTGCTATGTTGTTGTTGTTGTTGTTGTTGTTGTTGTTGCTTCTGCTTTTTGCATGCAGCTGCGCAGCACTGACAGCTGCGACGACATGTGACCTTTCTATGGGGCGGCGGAGGCGTGGTGGCTGAAGGTGAGAGGGTTGAGCGCCATGTGTCTCTCGCTCTCGCTCACTCTCTCTCTCTCGCTCACTCTCTCTCTATGTGTGTGTGTTTGGCATTGTTTTGGCTGTGGCTGTGGCCAGTTTTTGTGCCGCGTTGCAGCTTTGACCTTTGCGCTGACATTTGTCGGTTCCAACCCCCCACCCCCCACCCCCCAGCCGCTCCTCCGCTGACCCAGCCGCCTTAATGACTTATAGCCTAGTATCACCTTGTTCATATCCTGCCTTGGGAATCCCTGCAGCCAGACATCGATGTGTGCAGACTTTGACCGCAAAATTCGCACAATTTTATTAGAATTCTATTTGTTGTCGTTGTTGTTGTTGTTGTTTGTTTGTTTTTTTTTTTGTATTTCGGGTTTCAAGAGTTCAAGAGCGCGCGTAATGTAAATGCAAACTGTCGCTGACCGACTGAGCTGCAGTTGGGCTGCAGCCGCTGCTTAAATATGTATCGTTCATTTAGCAACAACAACAACAACAACAACAACTAGCTGAGCAGTAAAAGCAACGACGTCAACGGCAGCTGAGAGACTGCTAATAAAGCCAGACACCGATTGCACTGTGCAACAGTTCTCAGCGGCACCAGCAGCAGTTGGAGGATTGCGGGCGTGCCGCGGGGGAGGGGGGGGGTGGTGTTGGCGAGCTAGAGGGTGTCTAGATGGGGCCTGCGTAGGCTGCTGCTGACTAATGGCCACGAAGGGCACACCACACTGACCAAAATAACAAAATACCCAGCCCAACCACCCAACCACCCAACCACCCAACCACCCAACCACCCACGCCTACAACTAACCATGAATAGTGGCTCAGCGAGTGGGTGGCTTACCTTCAGCTCGACTAAAACACGAAAATGCGTTGTGGACATCTAGTGAATGCAGGTTAAAAGAAAATAGCCATGAATTTACAGTTACTTTTCCACTGCACACATTCCAGATGCTACAGATGCCTTTAAACTAGTTCATTATACATACATCTTAGTTCAGTTCCATTCCAAGAAAAGATTGTATTGAGGAAAAGATACAAGTTGGCTTTAGAAATTCTTTTACTGCGAACCAGTTGCGTTCCAACTGGTTCATTGCTTTAGCTTTGCTTTACACTAGCTCCAATCTAAAGAGTTCGCATGAGTGTGAACCACTTCAAATGTATCCTCATGTGAACTAGTTCCGTTTTGGACTGTTTCATCTAAAACTCATCTATTTTAATTTTGCTATAGCCCTAACAATGAGAAGTATCCTCATGTGAACTAGTTCCGTTTTGGACTTGTTCATCTAAAACTCATCTATTCTAATATTCTTCCTTTCATTTAAATCAACCCTGCCCTAGTTCATCCCTCTCTGTTTGCCTTACTGCGAACCAGTTCCAGTTTTCAACTGGTTCATTTTGGTAAAAACACCTGTCACCGTATTGCATTACACTTCTGTGATTCATTTAGCTTTAGGTTATCAAACACCTTTGCTCGAATGCCTCGCATAGATTTCCTTAGAATCCCAAACATCTGTTCATCCGCTCCGTTTAGTGAAAAACAGCTTGAATTATTCACAAACTCTTCTGAATAGCTGAATAACGAGACTCTGAATCACTGGGGAAAATGTGGAATGATTCAGCTCATTTATATTTAATACATATTACTTGTATTTATATTTAAATTTACTTTTAATTAATTTTTTACGAGCTCTCAGTAACTCTTAGTAATACTGGTTCACAGCCTTTTAAAATACATTGATTAGAAATTTATTCACTTGTTCTCTATATATATTTGTGCCTCATTCTTCATCTTACTTTCTCTCTCTCTCTCTATCTCTGTCTCTCTCTGTTCTTCTATCTCTTGCTCTAGCTCTATCTCACTCTCTCTCTCTCTCTCTCTCTCTCTCTTGATAGCTCGCCCAGTGTCTTTTGCCTTGTCTCTATCTCTAGCCTTCGGCTCTGTTATCTCATCAAGTTTTTTCCGTATTGCCTTGTGATATCCTTGTAACAGATACGCAAATGTAATGCTGTCGTAACTGTACTGCCCACGCACGCACACACACACAGATTGCCAGTCACTGCCATGACCTACACACACATACATACACTAATATATACATATATGTAGTATCTCTTTCTATATACAATACTTGTATTTGGCGCTGTCCTATTAACCCGATTTCCATTTGCCTGCAGTCGATCAATTCGCATTCTGAATTGGACCAAAACTTTTCGTCACATTTTGATCTTTGGCAACGTGAAATGAGCTAAATCAGTTTGTTGTTGTTATTGTTGTTGTTGTTGCTGTGACGGCCCAACTTAGACGTCAGTGAAATGTTGCGATTGTTGGCGAAATGA